AGAGACTGGAGGTGGTTTACAAGGATTTTTAAATCACAAATATTATAATAATTAAAAATATACCACATCCAATGTTAAAAAAAAACTTTTTTAAATTTAGTCATCTCATAGGGGTCCCAGGTGATGGTTTATTTAAAATATTTATACCCCAGCTTTCTCCTCCAGCGCACCCAAGGTGGCTTACAGTATAGCACAGTCTGGGGCACGATGGGTGACCCCCAAAGACCTCCGTTGACACACCGTTGAAAGTCGATATTCAAAGAGGAATGAGTATACAATGGTGGCTTGCCTCCTTAAAAGACAATATTAAATCAATAAGTATACCAGTATTAAAAAGGAACGAGCAAATCACACGCTGAGAAATGGTAAGCAAAGGTAATACTGTACTAAAAACTCATTCAAAGCAGAAAGGCATAGCAATCTGTTGGAAAAAAAACCACATTCTGGTCACAGGGGGAAGGAAGGCTTGACTGAAGAGAAAGGTCTTTGCCTGGAAATGGCCAGACCATCCTTGATGCACAGAACACTATCGCAGACGCATCACATGCACAAATGATGGCTGCCCAGGTCCACCATTTTTTAATTATTATTTATTTGAAAATTGTTACTCCGCCTTTGCGGAGGCGCTTATTTATCTGCTCCTTCCCTAAACGGAGAGATGGGTGTTTCATTTGAGGTGATGGTGATGGAGAGGCAGTAATGGAAACCTCCTGCCGTTGCCTAGCAACCACAGGGCCTACTCCCCAGGGTTCGCAGGGCTGGGATGGAAGCCACATTGCCTTTGCTAGGCAACCACCCGTGTTTTCCTTCCCCTGGATGAACAACACAGCTGCTTGGAGCTGAAGGCCCAGCACGGAGCGAGGTGGGAGGCTCCCGAAATGTTTGTTTCCTTTGAAGCAGCCAGGAAGACTTTGATAGTGATCAGACAGATGCCCCCCCCCGAGAAAGATTTTTATCTCTTTTCATCCTCTCTCTTCCCTCATGTGGATCCACCTACACTTGGAAAGTTGCACTGTGCCTTAGTGTATATTCATACTGTTATTAGTTAGTTAGGCATCCTTCAGTCTCGAAAGACTATAGTAACAAACATATATACAAGTGGTGCCTCGCTTAACAACGTTAATTCATTCCGCGAAATCGCTGTAGAGCGAAAATGTAAAGCGAAATTAAAAAACCCGGTGAAATGCATTGAAAACCTTTCAGTGCGTTCCAATGGGCTAAAAACTCACCGTCCAGCGAATATCCTCCATATGGCGGCCATTTTCGGTGCCTGTATAGCAAGAAATCTGTTCCTAAGCACAGTGGGGAGCCATTTTGAGCACCTGGTGGCCATTTTGAAAACCCGACGATCAGCTGTTTTGATCATCGTAATGCAAAGAATCGGTTCCCGACGCAGGAAACCGATCTTCGCAAAACGAAAAAACCCCATTTAAAACATCATTTTGCAATTGCAATTGCGATCGCAAAAACTTCGTCATGAAGCGGATTTGTTGTAATGCGGGGTAATTGTTAAGTGGGGCTCAACTGTATTTGCAGTATTTATATGTATGTACACAAAACTACAGTACCAAGTGAAACTCTCAAAGTGTAGGCTGATACACAGTATTGCAGTGCGCGTGTACATACAAACACAGACATATTTGCTTTTTTTTTTCATTTAAGGAGGGCTGGGAAAGATACGGCCCAGGAACTAGGGTTTAATCTGCTGCATAATTAGAGGAAATTTAGCTATTATTACTTAAGCCACACTCTGTTCCTAACACACTCTGCCCCAAGATGGCACCCACACAGTTACATTCCAACTGGATTATTTAATGTGCTCTGTGTGAGACTGACTGCCTTTCTGAACAGTCTTCCTGTGCAGAAATTGAAGCTGATTCTTCACTGGCTACTAGTCCGTGTCTGCCGGCGATGCAAAGTACTGGTTATCAGTTATAAAGCCCTGTCTAGGCTATTTGAAAGATCATTATTATGCTATACAAGCCTGTCTGATCTTTGAAATCTGCTAGAAAGGTCCTTTGCATCAGTCGTCCCCGACCTTGGGTCTCCAGATGTTCTTGGACTTCAACTCCCAGAAATCCTGGCCAGCAGAGGTGGTGGTGAAGGCTTCTGGGAGCTGAAGTCCAAGAACATCTGGAGGCCCAAGGTTGGGGATCACTGCTTTGCATGATCACACCACCTACAGAGGGGGGACCCGAAAGCAAGGCCCTCTCGGTGGTTGCCCCCAGGCTTTGGAATCCCTTCATCTTGGCAAGCATGCCCCCCCCCACTCTACTTCCTGCATCAAGCAAATATATTTTTATCCAACCTTTTTATTCATTTGTCTTTGGCAGTTAAGAGCTTAAATTGCAAGATTTTAACCAATATTATTATTTTATTTATTTAACGTAAAGTGGTATTAGTATTTTAGTCAAATGATTTTAATATGTTTTAATTTTTCATTGCGTTTTATTAAGGCAATGAATGTTTTTAATTTTATTGTACTTTCTTCTTCTTCTTTTAAATAAAAACTTCCTCGTTAGAACAGTGCGACAGTGGAACCAGTTACCTTGGAAGTCGGTGAGTGCTACAACACTGGAGGCATTCGATAAACACTTAGGTAATCACCTGGCAGATCTGCTTTGATGGTATTCCTGCACTGAGCATGGGGGTTGGACTTGATGGCCTTGTAGGCCCCTTCCAACTTCCACTTTTCTATGATTCTAAACTGTCTTGCAAGCCATATTGGGTCCCAATTCTGGGGAAAAGGCACTGAGCGCTGTAACCTTCAGGTCCGGTTACTATCCTTCTACATTACGACAAATCACCATAATGTGTGGCATTGAAATCTGGCTTATTTGTGATGTTTGAACCCACACTTGCTAAGGGGAGGCCCTTTTTATAGCAAACATAAACCACCATTGAAATTTGTTGCTTTTGGTTGACTTCCTAACTTTGGCTTATTTAAAACATGGCTTGGGATGTTTGAACCCGCCACTCTGGATTATTCCTGTCTTGATGCCCAGATTTCTTACTCACAGAAACAGTTGAGAAAAGGAGCAGTAGAAAAACAAAACAAAAAACAAAAAAATGGGAATTGAAGACATCAAGCCATTTGTAACTTAAGCAACAAACCATGATTTACAGTATAATGAAGGGCAAAACTGCCTGCATGTGTATTTCTGTATGGGAGACTGGCGTTTCAGACAACTGTTTGACAGTTAACTTGTTCAGATCCAAAAGAGGCTCTCATCCTCCCAAATACTTAAAGTTATACCTAATTACACTAATTACAGTTACTCGCCATTACCACATCTGTCATCTTGATAGGGAGAGAATAAAGGGCCATACACCCAATTTCATTTCCCTTACAATTTTTATATGTGTTATTCTTTGCTTTGGGATATGCCCAATGGCTGGGGTTACCCCCCTCCCCTCCAGAACTAGATATTCATGCAGAACTGTGTCGCAATCATTGAATCACAAAGGCCTGCCGTGGGACAAGTAAACAGGTATGGACTGTGGGCATATTTTGTTAGTTATTTGTAGCAACCTTTTCTCCAGTCAGTAGAGTATTGATATCCTGGACTCCTCCCTATTTTATTCTTACAATAATGTTGTAAAATAGGTCTGGATGACAGGCAGAGTGGAAACGAGATTCAGTCTTCCAGACCAACAGTCTTAACTACTACATCTTATTTCTCTCTATGGCTCCTATAAAGGTCACTGATATGTTACATTGCAGGAGGTTGTTTTTCCCCTTTTATGTTAAAAACATCACAGACTTTGCTGTCTTTTGCATCGGATGACCTTTTGCGCCCAGATTGTGGCATTTCTCTCTCTGAGAACCAAAAACAATATGTATAACAAACACAGCATGCACTTGATGATATAGGCTTTGGGTCCACCAAAGCAAAGCACAATGTAGGTCTCCTTGAAGGTACTGCAAATGGCTTTGCATTTGTATGTTTTATTTCTGTCAGAAGTGCACCCTGATACCTGTGGGCTAACCTGCAGGAAATGTCACCCAGTCTCTAAGATGGTGGCCTGCAACCACCATCCTATTCACCCAGGAGGGGGTGGGGAGTTGCTGGTGGAGACTAAATAATACTTTATTACAGTCAAAGACCAGTAAAAAGACTAAATTATAGCGCTTTGCATTTGTATGTTTTATTTCTGTCAGAAGTGCACCCTGATACCTGTGGGCTAACCTGCAGGAAATGTCACCCAGTCTCTAAGATGGTGGCCTGCAACCACCATCCTATTCACCCAGGAGGGGGTGGGGAGTTGCTGGTGGAGACTAAATTATACTTTATTACGGTCAAAGACCAGTAAAGAGACTAAATTATAGCTCTTGAACCGCGCACATCTCCAGTTCACAAACCATCATAGAATCAGTGCATTGGAAGGGGCCTATAAGGCCATTCAGTCCAAGCCCCTGCTCCATGCAAGAATACAGATCAAAGCAAACCTCGACAGAGGGTTGTCTAATTTTATCTTAAATGCCTCCAGCCTTGAAGCACAGGCTACTTCCCTAGGTAACTGATCCCCCCTGTCATGCTGCTCTAACACTTAGAGGAGGTTTTTCCTGATATTTGACCAAAAATCTGGCTTCTGGTAACTTGAGCCCTTTATGACATGTATCCTGGATTCTGGGGTGACGGAGAACAGATTCTGCCCCTCCTCTGTAAAACAGCTTTTCAAGTCTTTGAAAAAGTGCAATCCTATCGCCTCTCAATCTTCTTTTCTCCAGGCTAAACATGGCCAGTTTTTTCCTTCTTAAGGCTGGGTTTCCAGCCCCCTGATCATCCTTGTTGCCCTCCTCTGAACTTATTCCAGGTTTGTCAATATCCTTCTTAAAGAACTGGATGCAGGACTCAAGATATAAGGGCTAACCAGTGCCAAACAGAGGAACTAGTATCTCAGCACACAAACACACAACCGACTCCTCCCAAGACTGCAAAGTATATAAAAGCTCCCCTCCCTCCCTTTGGTTAAGCAAGTTTAGCAGTTCTTCTTACCCACAATTTCCTGGAGGTCAGGAATTTCCAAGAGGCGCTGGACGATGCCCACTCACCAAACCGAGCCCTGGGGCATTTGCCTGTTCCAACCCCAGTAATGGCGCTTTCAGTTGCTGAGTCAGACAGGCACACACACAAAACACACACACACACACACCACTTTCCTGGCAGCTCAGCAATGCAGAGACAGAGCGTCCCTCCGCTTTTCTCCGGGCAAGCAGCCACTGCAAGCCAGCTCAGTGGGCAGGGGTGGAGCAAGGGAGTTTGCAGCTTACTCCGGAGGTGCTCTGGTTATTTTTTCAGCTGAGAGCACTCTGGATCCCGGCCAGCTGTCAAAAAAAAAAAAAAGCCTGTGCTTTTATCCCCAGCTGATGGCCTTGACACTGTGATGGCCGCACAGAGTACTGCATTTAAATCCATCAAAGCTGCAACCTGCATCTCCAGGGGTTGGGAAGAGAGAGAGAGATCCTTTTAGGTTCTGAAATGAAAACTATTAGCTGCTATTCTGTTGTGCAGGGGTAGCTTAATAAGATGGGATTTCCAGATGTTTCGGATGGTGCTTTGGAAACTCTGGAGGGTATCAAGACCTTGAAATAAAACAACCCCGTTTCCCCCCAGATGGTTCATCTCTTCCCTTCACATTGCCATTTATCTCCCAACAACCTTGTGAAGCTGTTTTATGGTCAAAAAGGGATGTGAATCCATGTTCTTGCAGTTCCAATGAAGCACCTTTTTTTGGAAACCTCACTTACGGAACAGCACAGGAGCCAAATCTATTAGCTTATTTTTTATTTGATTGTGTAAACTGTTCAACGATATTTTTTCCAGTTAGTTGCCTTGTTCAAAATTGTTTTAAAGTTGTTTTATTGATTCTACTCTACCATGAGATATAAGACCGGGCAGATTGCAGCTTAAAAAAAACAACAACAATTTCTAGATGTACCTTCTAGACTAGTTTATTGTGCAGTACATTTCAATGAACCCTATGGGAATTTAAAAACGATATTCGACTTCTGATGCAGCTGTTTCCTTACTTCTGTCTCTCTGCCCATCTCAGCTCAGAAAGCTGGTTAAAAGGGAAAAGGATGAATTGTTCCAATACTGGAAGCCAAACTTCCACACAAATTAGGACATTCTCTATTTTAGTTCTTCTTTTTTCACTTTCCCCTCCTTCTTCTCCCTCTTTTCTTCCATTATGCTTGTTATTGTTATTGTTTCCCCTAAAATAAGACCTAACCTGAAAATAAGCCCTAGTATGACTTTTCAGGATGCTTATAATATAAGCCCTACCCAAAAATAAGCCCCAGTTAAGTGAAACGCCACCCTCCACCATTGTGTAGCAACTAGAAAAAGATTACATGACTGTGTTTGAATAAATGTAGATGGTTGTACATGGAAGAAAAAACATCCCCTGAAAATACGCCCTAATGCGTTTTTTTCTAGCAAAAATTAATATAAGACCCTGTCTTATTTTCAGAGAAACACAGTGTATAAATCTATTTGAAATGTGATCCATTACATGTAATGGTTTTGAAGAATAGTTATTGCTTATTGATACATTATTGTTATCATTAAGATTTGTAACATCACCAAACGTTTACAATGGTACACACTGAACAGAAAAAAATACTGTTAAAATAGCTCCCCAATTCTGATGATGAACTTAGAAAATTTGATTATAATATTGACAGTAAAATGGCCCTTTTTTGAAGGCAGCATATACGTTATTTCAGCACAAACAGTTTATTGGTGTTGATTTCCATATCAATCTGTCTTGTAGAAATCAGTAAAAGCCAACATTTAGTGTGCATGTAAAATAAAACACTAGAACTAGATCTAAGTGTCAGTCTCCCAAAGAATAGACTCCATCTATAGAACTTGAAAGTGCTGTTCATTTGGACTAACAATTATTTACACAGTGAAACATTTAAACAAAATCTAATGATTAATATCATCTATGGCTGACACATGGGATTTAAGGTCATCTTTATTGTGAACTCATTGATTGCAACCTAGTTGAAATTAAGTGTTGAATTTAGCCCTAAACCAGATTTACATATGTTTTTGACTCACTGTTCAGTCATTAATTGAATGGATCTACTAAACTTTTGGCTATATACTTGGATTTAGGTCTAAATATTGTGGCCTAAATATTTTGCATCACAAAAATTGATCTCTGCTTTAATTTCTAAACCGGGTAGATAACAGAGTCCAGTCACAGGTTAAGCTGGGCCTCAATGAGTTTGTGATCATTGTGACTGAATATTCAAATTAAGCTTTAATAGCTCAATGATGTAAGCCACTTTGGATCCTTTTAAGGTAGCAGAGTCCAGTGACAGGTTAAGCTGAGCCCTTTTTTGGCCCTGGGCTTCTTGTGTTGAGTCACGTTTGACATCATTCCCATTGTCGCTGCTGTTGGCATGTCCATCATCACCGCCTTGAAGCTGAACCCTGTCCTCGTCATCATAAACCAAAGACCGACAATGATTCCTTCAGCCCATCTCTTTTCAGTTCTTGGATCTTCAAGTCCCACACATCGCTGTGGATTGGAGATAAATGGGTGGAGGAGTCTCTCGAAACATGTTGACTGGAGGGTTCTAGGCAGTTACACTAAAAAAAAGGGGACCTTGCCATGCCCGGAGTGTTAGCCCCCCATGGAATCCTAGGCACACATTAAACTGCAAGAAAAGATTGACCCCAAATCCCCTCCAAAAAAGACAAGACAACCATAAGTACATTTTAAAGATTTTATTGCACAAAGACCCATCCCCCCACCCCCCCAGCACGCCACCCATTTTAACTCCTCCTTGGCTGCTACTCAAGAGGCGGCAGTTCAAGGGGAAGGCACTGCAGAGAAGGCAAAAACCTATGTCTTCCACCAGGGCCAATATGGGGTTCCACAGGGAAAATTCCTTCTCGGCTCCAATTCAGGCAACCGGCTGAGCCTGCACTGCCAAGTTAAACACTGGGTGGACTGGCCTAGGCGCTCTCTTTGGAAGAGAGGATTGTAGGTGTAAGAAGAGATGATTGTAGATCGTCGGCGCCAGTTCTGAATCCCTCGCTGGGTTGTCCCCCGTTGTCCACTTGATCCTGAAAAGAAAAGGGAGACCAGTTAGTCCATGGGGAACGAGCTGCTTATCTGAGGGCCCAGGGCTGAATGACAACGGTTGTGCCGGGGTTGTCAAGACAGGGTGACAACAAGGAACCAGGCACAAAGTCTTCCCGAATGGTTACATCTTCCTTAGAGTAGCCCACCTCTTTCTTTCTTCATTAGGCCTTGGACCAGCGTGTCTTGCTTCCATCTTTCACAATGGCTCATCCTGGTTCTTCAAAGGCCCGATCTTAAGCAATCTGAAAGGCAAACCAAGTGCAGAATCCTGAATTAATATGAAATAAGCCAAGTGCAGGATCCTGCATTAATGTGAAATAAGCTAAGTGCAGGATCCTGCCGGCCACCCCATGTCTACTTAAGTGGGCATGGCCTTCCAGATTCTCTAAGGAGAGCAGGGATGAGCAAAACTTATTTCCCTTGCTCTCTCTCCCAGCAAAGCTGGGGCATTCTAATTAAGCACTATCTGACATCCAGAAGCTGTTAGGCAGCAAGTGCAGGTCTCAAACCGAGACCCACAAGCAAGGGATCCCCCACAGCCATCCTCTCTAAGAGATCCTCCTCCCAGGGCCCTCCCTCCTCCAGCTGCATCCTTGAGAAATGCTCCTGGGTTCAAGATGTGGGGGCTTTTTATAGGCAGTCCCATTATGACCTGGAAGGACATGTAGGATTTGTGATGAGGCAAGTGGGGTTGGGATGCTGCTTGCATTGTGACAGGATAAAACCCTCCCTCCTGTATCTGGGTATGAAGCCACTGGACTAACTGGTCTCACTTTTCAGGATCGAGTGGATGACACGGGACAGACCAGCGAGGGATTCAGATGATTCTACAATCATCTCTTCTTACACCTACAATCCTCTCTTCCAAAGAGAGCACCTAGGCCAGTCCACCCAGTGTTTAACCTGGCAGTGCAGGCTCAGCCGGTTGCCTGAATTGGAGCCGAGAAGGAATTTTCCCTGTGGAACCCCATATTGGCCCTTGGGGGGAGAGGCAGGTTTTTGCCTTCTCGGAAAGGTCCCCCTTTTTTAGTGTAACTGCCTAGAACCCCCTAATCAACATGTTTCGAGAGACTCCTCCACCCATTTCTCTCCAATCCACAGTGATGTGTGGGACTTGGTAAGAACCGAAAAGAGATGGGCTCAAGGAATCATTGTCGGTCTTTGGTTTATGATGACGAGGACAGTGTTCAGGTTCAAGGCAGTGATGATGGACGTGCCAACAGAAGTGACAATGGGAATGATGTCAAACGTGACTCAACACAAGAGGCCCAGGGCCGAAAAAGGCTCAGCTTAACCTGTGACTGGACTCTGCTATCTATCTGGTTTGGATAATAAAGGCTAATTGTAATATGTAGTCACAATTATAATAAACCTATTGAATTAATATTTATAATTTAGATCCCATTCATTCAATAGATTTTCACTAGTTTATCACTGATAATAGCCATCAGATTTCACCCCGAGAGTTTAAGTAATATTTTATTGCTTAAAAATAATAGAGCCAAATTCTGTGGTTTGCCATAACTTAAATTAGGCCTAAATCTCGTTGCTCTTCCCAGTTAGATCCAACCCATGGAATAAATTGGGTTAATTAAGAATGGCAGAAGTGTTGAGCTCATTGTATGGCAGGGCCCTTTCACTTTCTTGGTTAAAACATTTAAGGCTTAATCCAGGTGAAGAGTCTCACCTTGAGTGGATCCATTGAATCAACTGATGAAATGTGAATAAAGATTTAGGTAATTTCAGCTGATTCAGTTGGTCACTTTACAGGTGAAGCTAACAATTGGATTCAGGTCTGAATTAATGGCTGCATTTAATCAAATGAATTGATGTGACTTTATATTTGCCTTATTAAATAAAGAAATATTTCAATTTTTGACAACATCTCAGATCCATATGAAATATTCAGTTTTTTCTTTCTTTCTACCACCTATAACATTGGCCTTGATGTGCAAATTGAAGCAATTGGCTTTAGTCAGAAGAATTTCTCTTCCGCTGTACAAACTAGTGAGACAGGTTTATTGTCATTAAATAGGTATATATCTTTCTATTTTAAAATTGAACTTTTAGAACTGCTGGATAGAATGCTGTGTGGCATAGAAGACTTCAATTATAGGAAACCGAGGAGGAACATAATGACTTGGGAGAATACAAAATAAATTAAACCATTGTGGAGAGGGAGAAAAAAGAATAAATATTGCATATAAAGGGAACAAAAACGTTGTTCCTGTCTGTTCTATCGGTAGTGTTTTATTGCTTTACCATGGGGAATAATTATCACTTAATATTAATTACATGTTCGAAAGATGTAGTGGTTATTTATATTAGTGTGCTCATCCTTTGTTTGAGCTGCCTTATAGAAATGTTGCTGTTAACAAATTAATGATATTTAAAGCTACTGTATGATGTTACTATATTTTTACTGCAAGCTATGAGGATACCAGCTAAATTTTATCTAAATAAAATAACCTTAGCTTTACTGTTGAGGTTTATTAATTTTTTTATTTGATCAGTTTTTATTTTATATTTTGTTTGTGAATTTTACTGTTGTATCCCAACTAGTTTTGAGTCATGGTTGATTTGTAGGGGTTTTCATTGTGCTGTCAGTTGACTGAATCAATAAAGTTGGGATTTTAATGTTATTTAATTCTAATATTAAATGAAAATGTGATTTCGTTTGGCTCATGGCTTGTTGAAATAACAGCCGCAAATGTGGAAGTCAGATCCATGCAAAATTTGGCATCCTTTTGCATTTCTGTCTCTTTTCACAATTTATTGATTACATTTGTGTCCTGGCTTGTGAAAAGGAAAACAGGAATACATATTTCGTAAACATATATTAATCACCTATGAGGGCTGAAGTAGATAACATGGTTTCATAGTGTCATAGATTGGAAGGGGCCTATAAGGCCAATGAGTTCAACATCCTGCTCAGTGTTAAGAATCCAAATCTAAGCATGGTGGATTTTTTTGACTATTTAAATAAATAAAAAATGATTTTTATTTCAATTGTAATTTAAATCAATTGGATTTTTAAAAATCATTAATTTTTATGCACACTGAATCAAAGCAGATATTTGATTTTTAAAAATCATTAATTTTTATACACTCTGAATCAAAGCAGAACTAACAGATGGTGGTTTGTTGTCTCTTGAATGCCTCCAGCGTCAAAGTGCTCATCACCTCCTGGGGTAATTGGTTCCACTATCATACTGCTCCAACTGATAGGATTTTTTTTCTTGATGTTCAGCCAAAATCTGGCATCCTATAACTTGAGCTCATTGTTGTGTGAATGACTGAGAACAAATCCTGCCATATTTAGGACATTTTGAGAACAGGTGCCCCCTAGTCACTCTGCTTTCTAACTCCTGATTTTCTTGCCTTATTTTGGGCTTAGGTAACGGTAAAGGTTGCCCTTGACATTTTTAGTCCAGTCGTGTCCGACTCTAGGGCACGGTGCTCATCTCTGTTTCCAAGCCATAGAGCGAGCGCTTTGTCCGAAGACAGTTTCTGTGGTCACGTGGCCAGCGCGACTAGACACAGAACACTGTTACCTTTCCACCGAGGCGGTACCTATTTATCTACTCGCATTTACATGCTTTCGTACTTCTAGGTTGCCAGCAGCTGGGACAAGCGACGGGAGCTCACTCCGTTGCATGGATTCGATCTTACAACTGCTGGTCTTCTGACCCTGCAGCACAGAGGCTTCTGCGGTTTAACCCGCAGCGCCACCCACGTCCCCTTGGGTTTATCCTGCCTGATTTTGTAGTTGGTTGTTGAAAATTAAAGATAGGCTTAATTTGCAGGCCTGATTACTGTGTTCCATATCTGTGTAGAGGCAAAAGATAAATAAATAGGCATTTGATGACCCATAAAGCCTGATCCTCAATATCATAGTTCACTGGTGAGTAGAACTTGCACACTGTAGAATTAGCAAAGACCTATGGCCTGCTGGAGTGTGTGGAGGGCCATGGGTTGTAATTTACAAGTAGAGACAAACAAATATTCTATGGAAGCATTGATTGTCCAGCTTAAGCCCTGTTGGCTATTTCTCAAAATCAGTTTACAAAGAACCCCAATTTGGTTCCACTCAATGGTAACCTTTTAGCGTCACCTGCTCATAGACTTTTTAGTCTATGAGATGCTGCTCATGGAGATCGTCTTCCCCTGGATCCCAACCGAGAAGTTCTTCTGTTGTCCACCACGTTTTCATCTACCATCAACAATGCGCGTTATAAGCACAATATTGCAAATAATTAGCTTGGATGAAAAAAAATAAATCCTGTATATTCATGGTTCCTTGGATTCTGATAATTCTTGCTACAGCATCTGACCTCAGTTTAGTTAAAACCTTAATCTCTGGCTTCCATTAGTTTGGGTACGATCGGACCGTAAGGAAGCTGATTACAAAGGGTCGCTTTGCTGAGAAGTGAGCGTGGGTACGATCGGACCGTAAGGAAGCTGATCACAACGGAAAGGGTCGCTTTGTTGAGAAGTGAGCCTTCCATCGGTCTAGGAGCTGCTCCAGTCTGGCCTCCCAAATTAGTAGCCCTGGTGGTCCAAAAAGGTCCATCTTGGGCACAGATAGGGGTCAGGCTGGAGCACTAAGACCACAGCACGAGCAGTCCAACATGTGACCTATATCCCCGTGTGATCACACCCTTAGATTCTAGTCCTGCTAGGGCCTTCTCAGTTTGATGCTTTGGTTTTTGCTCCACACAACATTTTAGAATCTTCTTGTCTACCTTGTTTAATAATTGTATGTGCCCTTGCCTCTAGCTCAGCTTTCTGGATGCTCTACTGTGGTTCCTTTTATTTGACCTGGTGCTCCTGTGACACTAACAGTTTGACCCAAGACAGTATGAAACCACACCTGTTACTACTGGCGTGGAAGCAGGACTCTAAGCTTGGCTTGGTCTTCTTTGGAAAGAGAGAGGAGGAGAGACTTAAGACATTTCTAAAATGTTTGAATTTATTTGGAAATACACCAGCCGGAGTAATACAGCATAGCACACCTACAGAAAGCAATTTTACCGCTCACCAGAGTAGCTGGCACCCTGGATGCTTCCCAAAACTAAGATTTATCACTTTCTCCGTCCGTCTCAAAACTGTACCTTCCACCTCGCACAAATCACATCTTTAGCTGAGAGGAAGAGAATAGCTTTCACTTTTCAAAACAACCAAAGCAGATCTCACCTTCTGTCAAAACCACTCTCTCCATTCAATTAATCTTTGCGGCTATTTCTTTGCCACTGTGGGGAATTTCTCTAACAAGAGATGGTTGAGACCTATTTGACTTCAGGCTATTAAAGACCTTTAAGCAGGGCCGGCTCTACCATTAGAGGCCGGTGATTTGACAGCAGATTTGGGGCATTATGGAAGGATAGTAGATTTGTTATTTATTGTATTGCTGTACCTTCACAGAAATGGCGATGGGCTTGTGAGATATTCCACCTCCTGTGCCAAAATAACTTGATTGGTGTTGTGTTCTATGACCTTGACTTCGGGGGAAGCACCTTGATGTAGGTATATAAGGGCATGGGGAAGGGAAGCATCATTTGTTCATCTGCCTCAGAT